TCATCTGCTTGGTATACATTCATATATTGTATTCTTTTAAATAAATCTATATATGGATATTGTTAATCTTACCCTGTTTTCATTTTTTTCCCAAATAAAAAGTTCAAACGGAAACGAAATTCGCGGTACGAGGTGCCGATTGTTGGTATCTCTTATTTACTTAACCATTAGCTATTGTTTTTACAGTGATTGCACCATAATATATGATTGCAACATTAATTTTTATACACAATAATGCCAGGGGTTACGTTCCTTTTTCTCAAGAATTTTGAAAATTCTCGCTTTATATTTTACAAATTTTAATGCCCAATGCACGTAATCAACAAGAAATATTGCACTAAAGTTAAAACTCTTTAAAAACGACGAGACGAACTGAGTATTTTCGGTACTATTTCTTTGCTTTGTAAAATTATACCCTGTTTATAAAAATATTTTACATATTGTCTATTTTGTGCTTTGTGCTGTAAATAAAGTATCATTTATTATTTTATAAATAAATCCGTGCTGCGTTAAATCTAAACCGTGCTATAAAAACAAAAGAGGAACTCAATGTCTACAACTACATGCAAATTATATTAAAACTAATAATACTTTTCTCAGGAATGTCTGTGTGTTTGTTATTATATGTACAACTTAATATTATCTATACCAGCACCATCTTTAAGTTATCTGTAATTATATTTGTGGCAACTCGAAAATTATTCCAAGGCAACGTATTGCAGCAAGGATAACCGTCGAGCCAAAGTGTCCTATAATATAACGAATTTAAAACATACTAAAGGAACTTTAAAGCTTCATTTAAATAAAAGCAAGATACAAAAATAATACTATGTGCACAACCGTAGTTTTGTTCAGTTTAGAAGTTTGTTCTCATAAAACTTACAATTAAAAACTACAAAAAAAAACACAAAGAACAACAGAGTTTAGAATCGAGTATAATAAATACATTTAGAAGAAAAAAAAGAGTTAAAGTGGTAACATATATATCTCACTTACTATCTGGAGCTGTCATATACACTTATGATTAAACAATGTACAGAAATATATGACATCTCCCAGTATCTATATTCTAATATCTAACAATTACTACCCAGTTCTGAGTAGCTGTTATCACATTTTAAAAATTCTAATATAATAAATTTATACACTATTCTGTAAAAAATACTGCTTCGATAGAAACGGAAAACGAATACGAACATTCAAATAAAACAGAGACCATTTCTTTGCGGCTCACGCGACAAATGTCCCTTGGTTGCTTCAAGCAGACGATGCATGAAAAAATTAAAATAGAATATATTACTCTAGTGATGTGTCTTAAACTTTGTATTGTATGTTATTGATTAAATTTTGAAACTGCAAGTTTGAACTCACAATACCCTGCATGGATGTAGAAAAATGCATGGTTAGGTGCCCTTCTATAATTTTACTAAGTGCAAATTATTAGTTGTTCGAAAAGCTCATCTCCAGGACAATCTGCGAAATTTGCCAGGACAGAAAAACCCAAACCTTGTAAAAATGCGGTCATACCGCATCGTTGTTGGGATTTTGATATTAAAATGTAAAAATTGAGTTATCTGTGTGTTCAAAAAAATCAATTCTGAAAATTTTGCAGATTATCCTGGTAAAAATACTGTGAAACAAGTACCTTGGCTTAGGCGTTAGTAAATACGTTGGGATTATTGCAAAAAATACTTGTAAAAATATATTTCATATCACATAACTTTAGTTTTACCTATGGAACCCTATACGAAAAGCGGTTGTCTTTTTTTAACTTGCAGCCAAAATAGAGAGAATAATTTGTACATTGTTGACCGTATACCTATGTTGCCTAAAATTATTTATTTTTTATACAATTTCCTAACAAATCTCACGATATACCTGCAAAATTTGTTACTCTTACACCAAGTCTCTATAATAGTCTGCGAATCAGAAATTTTCGTACATACACATAGTCAACACATAATTTGTACAAACATCTTTTAATTTTTTAGTTCTAAAGGCTCTTTTTCCGGTAAATTTTGTACAATAACCTAGACCGCTTTTTCTTGGTCGCCACGCACCCCAAATCCGCCTCCCAGCAACTCCTCGGAATCGAGACGATTCTTTGAAAATAAGCGATAAATTTTATCCGCTTAGGGGGCGCATCTGGACAGCGGGGCTCTATTAATCATTTTGCCAAATATTCTTAAAGGAAAGTGAAAACGAAAGATTTGAATCACATTATTGAAACGCTGTTAAAAAATCAACGAAACTGTCAGTCTGTTCCAACTGTATTCATATATGAATATATTATTCTGTAAATGTAATGTTATAAAAAGTTTATATTATCTGTAACTATAGGCTGTATCAGGGATATAAAAATACTGAAAAACCGGTGGATCTCTTGAGATCAAAAATATATCTGTCGAACGAAATACTGTAGTAACTACATATAATCTGTATACTGTACAAACTGTTTATAAAAAATTACTAATATCGCAGTTTGAAGTGATGTAGGCCCCTCGGGTAAACTTTGCCCCCCTTGGATTACAGGGGGGAGGGGGGGCTTGCCACCCTCGGGACTGGGAGGAATGAATGAACAGAAAACCTTTGTATATAGAATATTCAGTAAATATTTGGTAAAAAATCTGTATATCTCAGGAACTGTATATATAAAGTGGTTATAGTAGATAAATAATAACTTTTAAATAGGTTGGAACGTTGGCAATATGATATATCAGTCTTATAATAACCAAATTCCGAGTGAAGAGAATTGTTATTTTCATTTTATTATTATGTACATTCCTGCGTGAATTCACCTCAGAATTTGACGAACCTTTCTTAGTACCGGAGAAATTATTTCAAAATTAGGAAGCACGACAGCTTATTCTAATCAATAAACATTTAAACAACAATCGCCGCATGACTCTCACTTGGTCCTGCGGCCTCACAAACAAAATTGATTCGTAAATTATAACAGAACGGTCCCACGACCTTTAGCCTCGTTTTTTTTACATAATTCTCTATCTTAATACTAGCTCTAATATTGCCCCTATGGTTTAGATTAACGTCGCATGTACAGCGGCCCGCAAGGATCGAATTTTTAAAATCATTGTCGAATAGAAAGTGTGGTGGTTGAATTTTTACGAAATATATTCTTTTGGAATAACTGCATCCATTTTTTCTACGTCGCCTATGGTGGTAATTGGTCTCTCGACTTTATTGTGACGGATATTACTTTAAAGAATAACGAAACCTTTTTAAATAAACTTTTATAAATGTATATTAATCGAGGTATGTAGAGCAAATGATATCTTTTCAGGGGTACCTTAAAAGTCCTTTGTGATGTTTTATTAATATTAGATTTAGGAGGGCTCTATAGCAAATAGGCAACCAACAATACATTTTTATAGATTTTATTAAATATGAATTAATGCACATATAAGACTTTCCCCCATTTTAACACATATATTCTATAAAATGGAAAGAAATTTGTAATTTACCATGCCGCTTGTTCAAAAGCGGTGAATTACAAATTTCTTTACAACAAAAAGTAATTCCATTTTATAGAAAATCTGCGTTTGAATGTAGGGAAGTCTATTATTTGTGCACTAATTCATATTTAGACACACTGTGTAATAAAATCTATAAAAATGTATTGCTGGTTGCCTAATATGCTATAAAGCCCTCTTAAGGCCGGTATGCACTAATTGGATCCTAGGTTTTGAGTAAAAGGTGACTGTCCATGTTTCATCCTTAATTTCATTATTTCACTTTGAACGTTTTGAAAATACGTTAGACAGGTAAGTTTTTGGGAATGCAAAATATCTCTGTTTATTAGTTTTTGAACATCAACTAGATACGATATTTCTCAGTGATATTTTGTGATATAAGTTTTTTGAGGTTAGTTTCTTTACAAAAAAAATTATTCTTGTCGAAAATGATCCGTTTTCTTTTGTGAAAAAACGCAACTGACTTTCGTTATCAACCAATATAAATCGATTTAGATCAAGTAGTATAAATTTGCTTCTTTTAAAAGTTATGTGAAATCATATTGTTAGTTAATTTTTTCCTTGAAAGCCTACAGCTCTCTAAAGAGAAAAAAGAATACTTCTAAAACAAAAGTAACTTGATCAAGATCCATTTATCTACATCCAAATAAGTTTCCCATGGAACATGGCCCATTTGGTTCAGTTATTTTTCTCAAAAAGGGTGCATTTCTATTTCAACAAGAGTCCCTTTTTATGAAGAATCAAATTTTGCATTGTACTATAGGACATACTCTGTGCACCTAACCTAAAAAAAAATGTCATAAAATGAAAACGTCGTAACTAGCGACCTCAAATACTCAAAAACTAATACCACTGAAGGATTTACCACTGTTTAAAACAGAAAATTCTTTTTCTTGAGATTCTGTATCTCAAAATTGTAAGATGGTAGGTTCATGGTGATCTATCAGCTCCTCATGGTACCTTTCCCAAAACACTTTGTATATGGACCGGAATTTCCCAAAAACTGTTCAATTTGTTTTAACTGTAATTTATAGGATCTGAATAATTCTGTATTATATAGATTAGTATCTAGATCTAGACTGTTAAAATGTGGATACATGTAAGAACTTTTAAAATATTGCAAATAAAGTGTACTTAGTCACCTTTTAAGAAGATATACATTACTTATTTTTGGGAAAGTTTGTATAAAAAGGCACCCTTATTACCGTTCGCCCATCTGTGTCGAAAAACAATTTCTTACCATCCAGAATTTCTATGCAATTAATGCAGTTATATTAAAATATCAACACTTTCCGAGAAAATACCGCTCTCTCTTTTATTTCTAGGCTATTTGGTGTCTTTTCCTTGTAACAATTGCACTGAAAATGAAATGCATCTCAATTTTCTCAACTAAATCAAAAGCAGTTTTCGTTATTTATGAAAAATATCATCGGTAGCCATTCGCCCGCCCGGCAGACCGCTGTACATCGCGACTTTTTGGACGAGTCACGACACCAACGCCATCTACACCTAATCCTGCCCGTTCTGCTGCACGAGCTCCCTCCTGTCCTCGACAGAGAGCGCTGGGGGTCGGAACATATCCTGCTCGTCGTCCAGCTCTTTCACGCGCTCTTTGCAGTCCTCTTCTAAGGCCTGCTGCTGCGCGTAGTGCTCCCTGCTCTTTTCGCTCTGCGGCAACAGATGGATCATGCTCACCGGAATGGGGAACCCCGTCCCGAAGTCCGGGTAGAAGTTGTGGGCGAACGGATTGAAAACGGGAGGTTGAGGCGGCTGTTCCTCCGTACTGGAAGGCCTCGTGTTCGGCTGGATCTGCTCCGGTTCCCGCTCGTTCTTGCAGGAGTTGTTGTTGTTGTTGCCGCCGCCCATAGAGAGGATGTCCATGGGGGGGTTCGGGCCCCCTATGCAGTCCTTCCGGAGCTGCTCTAGCTTGAGGCTCTTGCCGTACTTGCCCCGGACGTACATCAGGAGGGAGTTGTAGGGGATGCCGAATATCCTGGAGGCTTGGCTGGTTGTCATCTTCTTGTTCCATACGTGCTGGAGGGCCTCGGTCAACTCGGCGTTGGTCCAGGAGCGAGGGGGGCCGCCGCGGGGGGCCGAGTGCTGTCCCTTTGGTCGCCCCACTAAAAAAAAGGGAAAAAAGTTAATTAAAAAAGACGCGAAGTGTGGCAATATTGAGAAATGTTGAATAAAGTGATACAGAAATAAGGTAGTCCCAGAAAATTTGTCCAGTCTCGTGGAATCAAAATAAGTCAATTTAAATTATTTTTTTAGGAAATTTTCTTACGATCTCAAAGAAATAGAATGTGTTCCACTTAAGAGGGATTTTTCTGTAACTCTGTAACTGTCAAATTTATAAGAAAATGGTTTTAATAAAAGTTGTCTGGAATCATGTGGGCTATGTAAAGAAAATATTTTTAGCTTTACAGGGTGCTCCATTTCACGTGGGCGCTACATAACTTTGTTATTTTTAATGGAACACCCTGTATATTATTGCACTTTTGAATTCCTTGGTTAATACTAGGTAGAGTTTATTAAATGTATATGGTGTTTAACAGTTTTTACCTTTTTCGAGATAATCAGTGGTCTTTGAAAAAAATCACGATTTCAGCTCTCTAAATGAGGCTAGATAGCGTCTAAACCTAAGAGTTAGAAACCTACAGTTTTCACAATTCATTTTGACATAAATTACTCTATCTTGTCATCTATGCGCAAAACGTGTACGTTATTCAGACTCGGAAATATTGAGACTTACATTTAATAATCTTGAATACAGAGAAAATTATAATCTTTCCTTTTTTGATATTTTATTACCCCTATAATTTGTGGTACGTTATTTTAAAACACCCTTTATAGCCCTAAAGGACTAAAATGCGTTTTCATGTTTCAGGCGAACATTTTGTCTCACATTTAAAATATGCACTTCAGTCATTTGGTATGTAATATAGTATGTTGTACCCTCTCAAGTAAAAGTATAATTATTTTTTTTTCCCACAAAATTTTAATTAAACTATTTTAACTGTAATTTTGATATTTTCATATTATCATAAACGATATACGATAAAACTAAAATCTTTCTAAGTTCAGAAGTTTTTAGTCTTTGGTCTATGGCAACAATATTTTCATTTTATGTCAAGTTTTATTTTAACTCTTTGCACTTGCAGAACGATAATAATTCTTTTGTTTGTTTTTTTGTTATAAATTTATTTTAATTTTTAGCTCTCGCTGAACTAAATTGATATTTTGTAGAACTACAGTCTCTTTGGGCTAAAATATGTTAAGTATGTACTATTTTTTCATGCTGTACTTTCTTTTATTGTCTTATGTTGAAATTTATTTTAACTTTTAGTTTCCGCTGAACTAAAATTATATTTTATAAAACCAAAATGCATATGGACTAAAAAAAGCACTTTAATAATCCCTACTAATTTTACATGCAAGCATATTTTGTTTAACCATTTTATGGCGAAATTTATGCTGACCAATGTTGAATAGTCTTTTAAAAACCGAATTCGTTTGTGTATAATCAACATGCAGTACACTTCGAGCAATTGATGTAAATCGGCGGTCTAAGTATTCTTCTCCTTGTTGTGTTCCGAGTTTCAGTTTGTTTCGTTTTACGTTTTGTTTTAGTTGTTGTTAGTGGTTTACTTTTGTTTGTCAAACCACTTTTTAAACATGCCAGTAAATATTGACACTGTCAGTCCCAGGTCTGATAAAATGTGAGAGAAAAGTGGTTTTGTAAGGCCTTCTTGTGCTGTTACATAGCTAATTTTTCGGACTTTAGAAAAGAACCTGATTTTTCTAGAAGAATATCTCGAAAACGGTAAGTTTTAAACATAATGTACATTTAATAAACTCTACCTAATATTAGCGAAAGAATTAAAAAACGCAATAATATACAGGGTGTTCCATTTAAAATAACAAAGTTATGTAGCGCCCACGAGAAATGGAACATCCTGTAAAGCTAAAAATATTTTCTTTACATGGCCCAAATGATTCCAGGCAACTTTTATTAAAACCAACCTCTTAGGTGGAACACCTTGTATACAAGTCATATATTTGCTTTGTTACTTAAATAATTTATTAAGAAAAAAGGAAAGTAGAATATTAAGTGAATGCCCCTGTAAATTATATAAGAAAAAAACCTTTTATAAGAATTTTGTCTACTGTGAAAATACTTATTCAGCATTGAATGTACTGAAAATACTGGATACCCGAATATTTTATTTTTATAAGTGGAAAAAGTTTATATGGACAATACTGCGACTGTTCAAATATTGGTCTCGAAGAATCTTGATAAAAAAACATCTTATAAATATCCTTGAAACCATATTCTTATAAACTTTTTTCAAACTTCTATGCATGCAATTCTCTTCAAGATTTTCTTGTTCTACTGGAAAGTCATACGGTGTTCAGAGACCAAAACGTTTAAAAAAAATAATTTTGTATTAAAAAATGAAAATTAGAAAGTCATGGGCTTAGGGATATAAAATGTATGGGGTGCTCAATGAGGTGAAGATCCCTTTGTGTTATTTTCTTCCTTATTCGAGAATAATATTGCATTCAAAGAAACAAATACACATACCAAATAAAAAGTCTATAGCTAAAATATTAAAACATATTGTTACTGGATATATATTCAATGGGGTGTACCTCATACTGATTTTTGTATACAGATAACATACTCTAAATTGTTTTATTTTGATTCTAGGAGGATTGAACAGTCCCGATCATTCTGGAAGATGTCCCAGTTCCTAAATGTGGTATTAAATTGAAGAAAAGTTCGAAAGTTCTCTGTGGACTAATGTGGACTATCTAGGATCATTCGTCAGTAGTTCCACCAGACATATACCGGTTTCGCGCCTATTGGAACGCCATACCGACGAATGATCCAACTATTTTTGATGTCTTAACTACAGACATGCAAGTGAGTATCGGTGAGATATAAAATATAACAGTGTTACGATTAACTAATATTTTTTAATGAGTAAACTGTTCTTACTTTTTTTCTTTGCGAAAATTTGGGAGTCTGGCGTTGTCCTAGGATCGGGCATATCGAACAGAGGATTCCTGCAGCCATCTAATCCAGGTGGGAACAGTCCAAGGGGTGAATCGAGTCCAAAAACTAAAAAAAATCAATTTTTTGTTATTTTTTTCAAGATTATTTTTGTGAAGAATAAAGATTATGGACACGTGCATGCTAGATAAATGTTCTAGCACTTGTGCAGTTACGCTCTGGGAAATTTTTGCCCGCTAAGACGAATTTAGCGGATAAATTCAAAACAATGCGGCAAAGCATTCTGCAAAAATCTCAGTCCGTGTAGAAACTTTCATTCCGTAGAACGGAATGAATCCTTGAAGATATGTGGGAATTAATAACGAGCTAAAAGGTCCGTTAATATTTATTGTGAGCTTATTAACGATTTATGCGGTTATAACGCGAGTATAAATTATTCCCGCCGTACGTATGAATATTGAAATTATTAATAAGGCGTCCGGATCGACCGATATGGCGATACGTGCATTTTCCGATCTGTCTTCGCTATTGGAGAGACGTTACGAAACGATTTATGGAAATTAGTATGGGTGGGTCGCTTTTATAACGAGGGAAACATTGACGGAACGTTTATCCTAATAGTAACAGTATTAACTGTAATAATACCGCAATTATTTATTTCTACCATTATTTTAGATGTACGGAGTCAAATTGTTAATAATGTAATGGGCAAAAAGTACGTGTACTACAGCTGCGAACAATAAAATGCTGCCAGCGGTTACTGTGACTTTGCTGTTGAGAGTAAGCTCCTCCTAATAGACTCCTTTATTGTAACGTCACATATTTAGTCAACCCGCAGCAAATGAGAGATTGTAAAGACACCTAAAATCTGATGTAGAACGATTTTTGTAAAAAATTATGGAAAATTGATCAGTTGGAATTACTAAAACAGTAAACCAAGTAAATTCAGTTTCGTCAGTTATAATGTAGGCAACCAGTAGTGACTTACTGTAGTCTTGTTGATAGTATCATGCAATTGTGTCAATAGACTCTCCAATTTGTTTCTGATATTTTCAGGTTTTTTTTTGTGACGTATTTGTAAATACTTTTAATTTATTTGTTTATTAGGTTTTTTTTAATACATTATACAGAATGGTTCGATTTTTTATAAAACAGATAGAATATTAAAAACATTGATAGGTTGTTTTAATATGGCGCGATGAAAATAGAGTTACAAAATTCGGCGACAAGTAGGCCTCATATAAAACAATATTATTAATGGATACAATTTTAAGGCAAATTTTTATTTTGTGACAGTGTTTAATTATAAACCAAGTTTTAATACTATTTTTTACAAATAATAATTATAATACTATAATTGTAGCATAATGATTTTGACTGTCTGCTCATTAACAAAAAAAAAAAAAACAAAATCGAGAAATATCGGATTCCAAATTAAATATACAGGGTGTTTTTGAAATACGTGCATTCCTTGAAAATGAGCAACTTTTATTAAGCAACGGATGATCCAAATGCTTCTGATTTCGATAAAATTAATTAAGAAAATTAATCACAAATGTAAGCCGACTCTGTGCATCTTGTGCACGTGCGTTATGAGTTATCACCCTTTTCTAAAAACGCACTTATTTCAGAAACACCCTGTATCTAAATATCTAAATTAGGGTGTACAATATTATCCATAAAAAGCATTATTTTATTTGTGATCCTTATTTACCGCATTTTAATACTTTTTAAATGAACATAAAAACAGTACACACAGCTGCTTCTTACAGCATTGGTTCCTATTTGTAAAAGGTTAAAATGCACCGTGGTCAGTCAGTGCCCCAATTTTGAATGGAAACGTTTTATTGTCCACAGCTGTACATCAGCTACTTTTGTTTGAATACAGGATTAGATATATACCTCACAAACTGTTTTTTAAGTTAGGCTATAAGTAATTATTAAAAAAAAATAAATATACTGATTGCAAAAGTTCATTTAATTTTTGAAGAACTCAGTTCAGTTCAATTTGAGGGCCAATGCAGGTGATTCCATGCGAATCCTTATATTTAAAATATCTCATACACTTCTATTATGGAAAATGAAGAGAAACTTGAGGTGAGAAATAAAAATAAATTATTAATAAATATTTACATTTCATAGACAAACAAAACAGGATATGTTAATTCAGTCTTTGATCGTATCTGAAACCTTTAAAATTTTGGGTTCATAAGTAGACTCTAATTAATTATTATCAGTTATAGATAGTGTAAATATTTGGCTAATTTTTATCCTCTGGTATTTCCAGTGCCTTCTAGGTTTTTTAAATGAACAAGAAATTGAATATATTGGAAATTTCTAGTCTATACAAAAAATATTGTCGTTTATAAATTCATGAAATTTAACATACTAGAGTTTAACTAAGCTTAACAATTGCAAACAAATTTTCAAAAAAAAAATAGTATACGTTCTTCATTCAGTATCTTTTGACCTTTAAACATATATCCAGCTTTTGTATTAAAATATCGTATTTGCATCTAGCTACCAGCAGTATTTCAGGAAGCATAAATTTCTTTTTTAGCTACTTTTATTTTAGAAAACTTCAGATCAGTCATATTCATTTATATTTTAGAGTAGTTAGTTTTTGTTCAGAAAATGTATTCCAGTTCAGTCATTTGTATTTGAGAAAAAAGTTATATATTGAAATAATACCAACCAATATTAAAAATGGTTATTACAATTATTTGTTTGGGGGCATACTTTGTTACATTTTGTATTTGACTGTTTTTTCCTGCTATAGTGAAAAGAATAGTTGATTTTATAAATTTGCTTTTTTAACAGCAAATGTCTCAGTCGTAGAAAATAAGTATTATAGTATTTATTTGAAGTTAATAACTTCAAATAATTCGTTAAATTTTGAAAACTGAAAGAATTGCTTTGATTAGAGTTTTGAAAATGAAAAAGAAAGTTTTCTTTTCCTTTTCGGTGTGACAAATATATCTAATCAAATAAAAAAGTAACTGAATGATTATTACAGTAACATGTTTTTATACAATACGCTTAGTAACAGACACACATTTTTTATGTGCTTTTTAACAGAGCATGATACACCCCTGTATTTTGGCTCGTTGCAGACGATGGAGCCATCACAAATGCTCCATCACGCCAGAATTTTCCCCTAACCTCAAAAAATTCCTCAAAATCGGTGGGAATCTCGATTTTTTGTTAAAATAGGCCCTAGAGCTTCGGGAAAAAAATTTTTATAAACGCATTTTGTTTCGGTTACTAAATGTTTTTTCGTTAGCGTCGTGTTCCTCAATTCATTATCATCATTTATTTTTTGCTCATTAATTTGCGAATTACTTGATAACAAAAAAATATCGAATCTTTTTTGGCGTCACAATGTATCTATTTGCTCTTCGAACTAACCTATAAAAAGTTTTATGCTGCTATTTCACTTTTTTTGAGAAAAAGTGAAACAACCTAAACTCGGATAATAAAATCAATAAATAAACAACACTTTCGTTATAAATTCCAAACTTATACTATATTTATTAATTGTTTGTGCTGAATTCATTAACGTAAAGAAACCCATAGCATTACATTTAAAATTTTCGAGAAAAATCCATAAAACGACATTCTTTTGAAGTAACGCCATCTATAGGTTTCCATATTGAGGTAAATGACATTACGTTTCACCACGGGATAAAGCATGGAAAGACCTTTCCAACGAGATATAACACTAAGGGTTTTCCATGAGTCAATCCTTAAAAAAATGCATTTTTCTGAACAGGCATTAGAACAAAATGTCAACGACAAAAGTTATGCGCAATGAATCCGGCTTTCCATATTTGTAAATTGATCTAGGAATCGTGCGGTAACACGGTTTTCAAAAAATGCCTCTACTAAAGTTTCTACGCTTCTATCTGTGAATTCCTGTCCAAATTAAAGTCACGTTTGTTTTGGAATAACTAGCGGTACTGATCTATGAAATCGATTGCTGTATTTTTTGCACTAACTAACTACAAAATTACCGCTTCACGAAAAACTACTAATACGAGAGATTTAATTTAGACATTTTTTTTTCAAATTAATACCTTTATATGTAACACATTCTATAGCTGGACCCAATTCCAGTTAAACTTTGGTAATTTTTTCCGGGCAAGTCCTCCAGTGAATTACAGAAATTTAATTAACTAAGAAAAAGTACTGCGCTAAGAAAAGACGAGTACCAATTTAATTTTAATCGGATTTTTGCAAAAAAATCACTAGTAGCAGTTTTACGGAAATTCGAGACCATTGGCTAATAATCAATTTAATAACGCCAGTTATGTATGTTATAATTATTGTATTATGTAAAACTAGTTGCACATATTTTAGCAAAACGTGACTTCTAACAGCAAAGTTAAAATTTTCCCCGTTTTGGATCAGTATAGTGCACCGACTGACTTTCACATGACTAAACAACGCTACAATCTCGTACAATATAAGGACGGTAACACACTATGCCGTTAAGCGACTGAGGTTGTTGCTTCTGCGGCACAATCTCATCAAGTGTCATCGCAATTATAGTTGTATAAAAAAACATGTAGTTCCGTTTGTACGTACTAACACCTAAAATCCTTAAACAAGTGATCCTTTGCGAAAGATTTAGACTCCAGTCTTTAATTCTGGCTCTAGGCTACCGTACATATTTTGGTACCGACGACTGATGTGTTTTTGGTACAGTTAGAATATTTATGTTTTTCCTTTTCTGAGAGTTTTCGTTAATTTAGATTGGAGTTGACGTCAGGATTAAGAGAGGGTATGGCAAAGGTAGCAATCATTTCCTGGAGGTTGTAAAAATCGAAATAGCTGATGAACATCCCAGTAAGAACTCCCGTAAATAGAAAACACTGGATTACACAAACATAAGGATTTATAAATTTACAAGAAGAAAGATATGAATCTAGAAGAACTATGGATGGAATTAAAAAACATAATACTAAAAACAGCCAAGGACAGTGGAACAGAAGAAAAGAAAAGGTTATGAAAACAATACCTAAATTCGAAAAAACACAAGAATAAATACGGATAATGTAGATACAACGAATAGTAGTTAAGAGAGTGATAATGGAAAAATAAAATAGCAATTGGGAGAAGTCTGGAGAAAAATGCAGAAAGACCCAGCGGGTGATGTTAAAATGCTCTACAGAGGTCTGAGGAAAGGAAAAACGGACCGCTGAAGAACAAAAAAACAAAAATAGGGACATCTTAACACAAGAAACGAAATAAAAAAATGACGTGAGTATTTTATGAAGCTATCAGGACCAGAAACAGACAAACGAGAAGAAAAAGAATTAATGGAAATAGTGGAAGTGAGAGGAGAAGCAATGTAACAATCTGAAGCAGAAGAACCTCTCTTTCGTTCGCATATAATTATTAGACACTAGGACAGTCTTACAGAAACTAAAATTAGGAAAGGTATTAAGAATCAGGAAAAATTTGGAGAATTCAAGATAAGTAAGTAAGTGGACAAGAGTTTACAAATGTTCCTGTGCATTAGTGTTCTTCTGTGTATTAGTGTTAGTATTTCCCGATGAGATATAGACTAGATATTTCCCGATGAGGTATAGACAAAATGAGATATAGACAAAATGAGACAGACAAAATGAGATATAGACAAAATGAAATGAGATATAGACAAAATGAGCTGAGATATAGACAAAATGAGATGAGATATAGACAAAATGATGAGATATAGACAAAATGATGGGATCTAGACAAAATCAGATATAGACAAAAAGTAGTGAAGATGTCACGATCGACTCGATTTTCGAAAAAAATTAAAGGGCAGTAGTAGCAGTTATTTTAATCTATTAAATAATACATTATATTTGTCCAAAACTTGCCAGTCTGATATTTCATAAACTAATGGAAATATTTAGGTTATGTAAAAAGTGATGTGTAAATGATTGAAATTCTGACGCTTTGGAGAGTGATCCTCGTGAAAAACCTCCCTGAATTTTGAGAAAATGATTTTCGAGACTAATCTTGGGTCATAGGAACTTTGGAACTTTTTTGATATTAAACTGCATAGTTTAAAATGATACATAATGAAATGTAGTGAAAGGAAATTATAGACTATTTGATTTTTTTTTAATGTTGTTTCACTTTTCTAATTCGCAAAAGATTGTTGTTGCGAAGAATGTAGTAATATACAACATTTATATACAGGGTGGTCCGTTTTTCATGGCTCACCATTGGTATCTGGGAGATGTAAGATATTCAGGGTGACAAATTAGAAAAAAATTGCTCCTTTTCAGAGTCATTAAAATAAACCAAATAAATCAAAGGTATCTGCTGTCCTGAAATATATGTAATAATATATAGGTACACTTACATAAAATTAAATCTTTCAGTTCTCGGATTTGATGCCCAAACTTTAATATGTCAGTTAATAAATCAGTTGAGCCTTCAATTTTGTTTGATATAGTGTTTTTTAGGTCGAAGAAATAAAGTGAGGTTAAATCTGAAGGGCAAGTCATTTATGCCTGTTCATTATCAACAATTTTCGATCAAACTACTCTACAGTACAAAAAACGACTAGGTACATGATGCGGCGAAACCGCAACTTAGAATAAAACTGATCTACTTACATTTACTATGAGGGGGCGTCATTGCCAGGGCAGAAACAGAGGGCATCGGCGGAAACGGCAACGGTGAATGGCTTTCGATCTCCTGCTTCAAGTTCATGACCGGATGGGCACTCACTGGCGACGAACGGAACTCCTTACAGCTCTGTATACTCAGGTCCATCTCTGGACTTCCAGCGCAGGGTTCTGGCGTCCTACACTTATCCTCTTCCTTCACCTCCTTCTTCTCCTCTTTATTTTGCTTCTTTATGCACAGATTTTCCGCTGTTTCCTCGCTTGGAGACCCTGGCTTCACCAGCCCGGTGGAAAGATCCTGGGCTGTGCACAATTCACCAGATCTACGTCTTGGTCTCGCTTGTTTCCTCCTCGGCAAAGGTGACTGACACTCCTGCCTGGGCAAGAGGGTCTCAGGGAACGATAATCTGGACATGTGAGGCAGTTTCACCGGAGGTTCGTAGTTATTCTGTCCAGGAATAGGCGAGAAAGGCGACGATCTCTCCCCTGGAGTCCTCACAGTGACCCCAGGTGTGGGAAACCTTCCGCTGCTGAAGTAGTTCCTGTCGTAGTCATTCGGCGAGGCGGAAGGTGTTGGTGTTTGGTTTATAATGGACGTGGACTCCTTATCTACTCCGAAAGGGTCCTGATTCGCTAATCCTCTAACTTGTAGGCTTTCCGCAGCTTTGATAAGGCTCTGCAGCTGCTCTTGTATCACGGAGATCTCTCCCTTGTACATGAAATCCACGATGGCTTGCACCTCCCAACCGCTGAAGTCCTTGAGGACGATCACGGGGTGCTTGCAGGGGTTCTCGGAGAATATCCGCTGGAAAAAGGGGGAACACGCGCTCAGGACCACCTTGTGGGCCCTGACGGACGTCTCGGCGCACACCAAAGTCACGTCCACGAGTGTTTCGGCCTGGAGGAGGGCGTCGAAGGCGGCCAGGATATGGGTCTGATGGTTGTTCCATCGGAGCGAGTAGTGGGACTGCGTCATCTTGGTTGCTGCTTTTGTCGTGGTTGCTGGGGTCACTCAAGTGTCATTCTCTTTCTTCTTTTAAATTTAGAATTTCTGAAACAAGGACAAGCTGTTAGTAAAGAAACGGCTGAAAGTACAACAAACAGTTTAGGAATTAATAAAATCATTCTCTTCTTTTATGTCTTATAACTGTAGCTCACATACGACGCAATGTTTCATAAAAGTAGTAGTTTGAATGGAAAATGCGCTATATTTGTACAAGTATTACCAGAATGCTGCAAGAGCATTGCAATTATATGACGAACGTTTTCCTTTGCCATTGCATTCATTCAGTAAGTTTGTTTATGTTCAAAGGGCTCAACAAACAGGACACCTGTAAGAAAAATGTGGTGGACATGATAGGAGACCTTTTTCATCTAAAATGATGCATGTCGAAGATGTTTTAGATTCAACAATTAGTACCAGATGTTTTGTACAGCATTGTGAGGCATCTCATACTAAAATGTAGATTATAGACCGGGAGATATTAGACTGAAGTTCGACGACGTCTTTCTCGTTTATGCCTCTGAGAGTACTGAAAGGTAACCGAGAGATAAGTACAATAAACTAAATTTAAAAGATGGGCTGCGGGACACCTTTGTGAAAATTCTATTTTCCTTTTCAAAAAAAATAATGTGTACAGCGACGTATTTCTCATTTATGCCATGTTCGTAAGTTGAAGAGAAGTATCGATTTTATCACGAATTTTTTTTGGCATAAGTGTCGCAAGAGACCTAAATATGGAAAACTTTGTAAGAAAATGTGGAAAAACATCTTTATTTGTCTACCAATTTCTCATTAATGCCAATTAGAAATATTACATTATTATATTCGAAAAGGTCATAAAAAACATTGGCATAAGTCCTACTAAGGACTAAAGAAAATAGAGCTTTGGAAAAGCTGCGGAAAATTTTTATTTTCATTCTATAACTTTCTCATTTATGCCGTTGAAAATTTATGATACTTACTATAAATAATGTACTGTGTCAAGTAGGCATCACTCCTCTATGGGTTCAATATGAAGGCATAAGTCTCAAAGTTGTAGGAAAATTCATGAAAATTTTTACGTCTTTCTCGCTTATGCCATTTTGCATGCACGTAGGAAACTACATTATAAAGTCATATAAATGTAGGCATAAGTCCACATTGGATTTTCATGTTGTAAATTAATTTGAATTTTAATATGAGTCAGGTCGACAAAGTAGAAAAATTATAGAAAATTGCCACAATTTTCTCGTTTATGCCGTTTTGTACACGAGTAGAAAATATTATTAAAAGCCACTTTCAAGAGTGGCATGAATGCCACAAGGTACCGTCGTATGTAAAATTTTTTAAAAAGTTGTCAAAAATTACAAATTGCGGTTATTTCCTCGCCTGCGCAATTTTCGATATACTTAAATTAATTTAAAAAATGTATGATAAATAATGCAAGTGTCGGAGAAGATATCTATATAAAAAATGAATATTTCTAACTATAAAAGGTAATAAAAAAATTAAAATAAAAAAAATTTCATGAAAAAGAGAAAGCATATTGGGTTTAGTTTGAATTTTCGACGTTATTTTTTATTACGATAATTCTTAATAACTTATAATAAAGCTGGTAGTAAGGCCTTTATTTTGATCCGTTTTCATCAAGAGCTGCAGATAAAACTGTTTGAAATTTGAAAATGTAAAAAATCATAAAACCGAAAAATCTTTTTATTTTTGATATACTTTAATTTTAAGTTAATAAAAATTTGTATTATTTTAAGTGTTATTGTTTGTGTTAGTTATAATTAAAAATTAGTAATTCAAAGTCTTTGAGGAAGCATTCTGACGATTGAGTTGGCAGCGGTTTTTCAATTCAATTACTATTTATTACTTAAATAAATCTTTTAATATAAAAATAAAATGTATAAAAGTACAAATTAAGTAATTAAGGTACAAAGTACCAGAAACAAAAAACAAAATTCAATGTACATGATATTAAATCAGTTATAAATCAGTTTCTTCCCTATGTATTCTAGCTTAATTATTTCTTCTTCTTCTTCTACCTTAGTCGGCTCAATTCAAGTAGATCATCCATGCACTGAAACGGTTAATTCAAATTATATAATATTTTTAATTTTTAAAATTTAAATATATTGTTCATAAATACGTATGGTCTATTGTGATAAAATACTCTACTCATTTACGAACAAACGAGAAATTTGTGGCAATATTATATAATTTTTCTTTTTCTGATCATGACTCAAAGAATAATTAAAAGTCATTTCTAATATGTGGGGACTTAAGCCGAAATAGTTTATTATTAACTTTCATTAAATACATGAATTACTTATATTTATAAAAATTAAAAATACGCAAAATGCAAGTAAGTATAAGTATTTTGAAAATTGCGTAGGCGATGAAATAAACTTTTTAAAAATTTTTACATACGACGGTACCTTGTGGCATTAATGCCACTCTTGAAAATGGCTTTTAGTAATATTTTCTACTCGTGTACGAAACGGCATAAACGAGAAAATTGTGGCAATTTTCTATTATTTTTCTACTTTGTCGACCTGACTCGTATTAAAATTCAAATTAATTTACAACATGAAAATCCAATGTGGACTTATGCCTACATTTATATGACTTTATAATGTAGTATCCTACGTGCATGCAAAATGGCATAAGCGAGAAAGACGTAAAAATTTTCATGAATTTTCCTACAACTTTTCGAAAAATGTTTAGTATATAGTCCTCACCAGGGACTTATGCCCTTTAAAAAAATGAATACTTTCATTTTTTTCTTTGCAATAAGCTTTAATTTATTCACGAGAAAAACGTTGACCAAAACGAAAAATTTTCCGCAGCTTTTCCAAAGCTCTATTTTCTTTAGTCCTTAGTAGGACTTATGCCAATGTTTTTTATGAGCTTTTCGAATATAATGTCATATTTCTAATTGGCATTAATGAGAAATTGGTAGACAAATAAAGATGTTTTTCCACATTTTCTTACAAAGTTTTCCATATTTAGGTCTCTTGCGACACTTATGCCAAAAAAATTTCGTGATAAAATCGATACTTCTCTTCAACTTACGAACATGGCATAAGTGAGAAATATGTCGCTGTACACATTATTTTTTTGAAAAGGAAAATTGAATTTTCACGAAGGTGTCCCGCAACCCATCTTTTAAATTTAGTTTATTGTACTTGTCTCTCGGTTACCTTTCAGTACTCTCAGAGGCATAAACGAGAAAGACGTCGTCGAACTTCAGTCTAATATCTCCCGGTCTATTACTTTAAGTGGAAATAAATGAATATTACGGATGGAAATGGGTCTATAGTTACTTGAGGTACCACTGGAATTACTTCGACTATTTTTAATGGTTTTAGGAAAACTGAACTTTGCAGTTATTAAAAAGAAATGTTATTTGAAGAGACAGTTGATACATGATCTCTTTGAATCCTTGGGTTTGGATTGCTTTATAATCTGAATTATTCTTCTTCCGTTAATTCCTTGTTAATCCCTGTAAGAACATTGAGTTCCATATGTCAAATTTTTTTCACAGAGTAGTTTGGAGCTTTTTTTGTTGGTGTAGGTACATAAACCGACTTTTTCTTTACCCACGCTGATGAAGTAATAGTTAATTTGATCAGCTATTACGACCTCGAGATCATTGTTTTCTATTTCCTGATTTTGCTTCACTGTTTATGACTACCCATATAACTCTGTTTGGTTCTAATTACTTGAGTTATTTGTTTTCATATGTCTTATGTCCTTAGACAATGTCCGTATCCATTTTCACTTCAAATATTATCGAAAATGCTTTGATTTGATATTTTGCTTCTATTTCTTCTTTATTTCCTTGCAATCCATCGTTTATACTTTTTAGGAGTTTACGTTTTTCTAGTTCAAGAATCAGGTACCTCAAACATGGTGATAAATTTTTCCTTGAAGATGTTAAATGACCAATTTACTGTTTTCATTGTACATTGTACATCTCCTGACTGTACTTTGTTCCTAACTGAAGACTTGTTACATCGATTTTCTTGATTTTATGTTATTGATTTGAAGTTTTTTTTGTAGCAACTCGAAAGTATCAGAAAATTCAATGTGAAGAATAGCATTGATCAAAATAAATAAATACATAATTTTTGTTAACAAATTTATATGATGGGGAATTTTCCTAAAGGTTAAGAAAACAGCAGCGGAAAAGAATAGTAGCGTAAAAGAAACGATTCTATTGACTTAATCTCTAATCTCTTTGTGTTGCTTTTTCGAAAGCGGGCCTCTCAAGTGCCCCTTATGAATCATGACAAACAATTAGCCGGTACGAGCTCGGCGTTCCCGGAATAGAACCCATATGGGGAGAGTCACGGCATGTTCGCGACATGCTAGTCGGTCGCGTGCGTGTGTGTGGAGTTTCGAGGCACGTAGGTACATTTACGTCTGGAGAACAATGCTTTAAATTCTCCTCCGCCAGCGGCAATCCTCCGGGGAAAGCCGGAGCTCTGATGAGGGTAAGGTGCATCTGGGAGAATTAAAATGTAGTCGGATGGACGCGGTCTACGTATGAGGATTAGGACCGACGGACCCGCTGAGGATCGCTCTAATGATGAGTGTTATTTATTTCGCCATCACTGTAATTGCTGGGATCAATTTTTACGGGTGCAGGCGGAGCAGGCTTTGGTGAGGACGGCCGGGATGTTTCTGCTTCTAATCGAGCTTTCATACACCTTTAACAACTGCGTCCGTCAAAAATTTTTGTGGCGAAGCCTATGCACAGCAAAAATCTGTGTCCATTTGCAAATTGTAGTTTTTGTAAAGGTAAATGTTTGATTTGCACAACATTTTATTTTATTTAAGTGATCAGCATTTTTAACTTCGGATACAAAAGAGTTTATACTTTTTTACATAACTTAGAACAGTTTATTCGAGTTATTTACTTTTAAAGTTAAAGGCAAAACATTTTGTACTGTTTGTGTGTTTAAACATTGCTCCACGTGCAACCC